TTAATAATAATAACAGCACTGCCTTTTAATGTACATGCCATTTTAGCAAAACATCTGCAGTAAAATTACATTTGGGCTTGGGGAAACATGGCTGTGACACTTGATCTATTCTGTTCTGTTAGTATATGACCATGTATTATTTAAATCTAGAAATCTTCTTTTACATTGATTCAGTAGCTGTGGCCTTTTAAGCATCATGTTCAACTCCTCCAGTGTCTCACACAAATTTCCTGAAGAAACTGAAAAGCAAAATATTTTATAGGTTTTCTTTCCCTCACAAAACCGACACAAGAAGCACTGCACATGCTGTAGTAAAACATTTTTATAAATAATGTAAAGAGAATATATCATTATAACTTGTTTTTTCTCAGCAGACGAATCAATCAGAGAGTCATTTAAAGAGGTGGCTTCACATTTAGCTTTGTAATGTTGATGTTCTTGGGTAGTCAGTGTAAAAAAAGACTTACTAATGCTGTCAGACTGTTAATTCCACTTTTGGTTCCTACCTACTTAATTAAAACCACATTCATTAACCCTCTGTTCCTATCTGATTAAGGTTTACTGTTTCTTTGTCGTGGGCCTGTTTCTGCCTAGGTTTAATAAATCAAGAGTTTCTCTTCTTGTGTCCTTGCAGACCTGACAGTAGCATTGCTTCTCTCGGAGAACATGATGTGACAGTGCGGGAGGGCACTGAGCAACACATTCAGGTCGCTGACGTGGTCGTTCACAGCCCCTACCGCTCACCCCTCCACAGCCTCACAATGGTCCGCCTAGCAGAGCCAGCCAGATTCAACCAGTACGTCCAGCCCATCCCTTTGCCCAGTCGCTGCCCACAGCCTGGAGAGACCTGCTATGTCTGCGGTTGGGGCTCCACCATCCCAAATCACTGTAAGTGGATTTAAAGGTGTTACTGTGGCTTTTACACCTCACTGACCTATAATATTGCAGTGTTCCCTACTCCAGCACTTAAATGGTCCCTTGTTCTTTTTTAGTCAGATAAGGTTTCTATTGTAAACATTTCTTATCAAAATGGCTTGTGTGTAACATTAGAGCTAAAGTTTGATGTTTGGGGAAGTATGCTTGAGTTTATTGCCAAGAGTTGAGTCACTGGTTAAACAAACAAGATCTAACAAGATACTTAGTTTGTGAGCGCCAACATACTGGTAGGCGGACAGGGCCAAAGTCTGATAATTTCCTGTTTCCTTAAATCAAGCTTATCTACAGCTCTCAGCACACATGAGAACGGTATCAACCTTTCCCTCCAACTCTTGGCAAGAAAGCAAAATTATTTAAGGACAAACTATGGAAAACATTTGCTACTCTAAAGGTCATTTGGAAAATCAGGTTTTGTAACCACATGAAAATTATTTAAGAAATACACAAGCTGAGGGACTTTTTAACTTTTGTTAAATTACTGTAGTATTAAAATGTGCCAAACCTGCTTTGTTGAAATGTTTGCTGTTCTTATTGGTCACACATGCTTTATTAGTCCAACTCTTAAAAACAAATGAGTGACACCAGGGAACAAGTAGAACCACTCTCCTTACAGCTGGAAGCATTCATCAGAAATGTAGACTTAATATGAGAAGGTACAACACGTATCTTACTTTTAGGTTTTCACCACAGCTCTGGAAAACATTGGATTCTGATCAGCAGGTACTTGCTATAAATGCTCATCAATATTCTGGTCACTGCAGCTCTAACACAGCGTGAACAGTCTATTTTAATAATGGCTAAAAATGTCTTTCTTTAATCAGGGGAGCCTCTAATTGGCTGTCTAAATTCCCAGTCAGGTTTTAAGACTAATTAAAAGAGGTACACCTTGAAAATAGTATTTACTCAAGGTTTAGACCTTATGCTCTGGTGCATGAAGTGGCAATGCGTAAAAATGGGAAGTAATCCTGCTGATTTAGCTTTTGTCAAAAAATGAGTGGCAGAATGATGTGTGATGGTCCAGAATACATCAACACTACCAAGTTGTACTTATATTACAAATTCAGATGAGACACCTGTAAAATTTTAACTGTTTAGTTTGAATGAATCAGAGTAATAACCAACCTTCCTCCTCTCCAAAACAGATGAGCCCCCCAAATTCCTGAAGTGTATAACTGTGCCTGTTGTGGATGACCAGACGTGTAGAAACACATTCCCTGAGTACATTTTCTGGAGCCTGGGCATGGTTTGCGCTGGTCAAGCAAACACAGAAAACTGCATAGTGAGTATGGACACAACCCAAAGAAACTGCACATCTGTATTTCTCATCTTTACAGCCCAATTCCATTTCTTTTTTTAATTTTGTACCCCTACCCCTCGTTTTCAAGGACTAGTGCTTCAAATCTTCCCTGTATATGAAATGGGACAACCCTTCAAGACCGCTGTGCATCATCTGTAGCTAATGATGATGGTTAAATAAACAGTTTTTGTCAGAAATTTTGAATCACACACATGTGATGATTTATCTTGCGTGGTCTATAAGCATCAGTTTGCAATTTTCAACAGCAAATAGGAAAAATGCAAGGAAAGGAAAATCGTCTGACCCCAGGAAATGTTGGATTTGTCTGAGGTGTGTAACATCAACTGCGGCATGTTGTAGTTTGTTGTAGTGTAGCTCTAACACTTTGCCCTACCCCTCCATCCTAAAGATAATAGGGACACCCACCCTACATGTGAACATGCAAAATGGCTAAGTTGTAGGGGCAAGGGGTGAATTCAGATTGGGGCCCATCTGTTATGCAGTTCTTCATCCTTCCTCCAGCCTCCCACTGTATCATAGCATTTTCATTTCATTTTAAGCCATTTTCATGAATTTAACACAAACAGCTATAACAGAGTAGCCTATCTTATTCTCTCCACTTTCTCCAGAATGACTGGGGCAGTGTGCTGGTATGCGATGACCAGCTGCAAGGAGTGCAGTGGTACAACAACGGCTGCAGTAACCCAGCTCATCCCAGCGTCTACACCAAGCTGTGCATGTACACTGACTGGATCAGCAATGTGATGGATCGCTACACAACCACTCCACCAACTGAAACCAGCTACACAACCACTCCACCAACTGAAACCACACCAGAGATGATCATATGAGGCAGCAGAGAGCCATTTACTCACACATAAAATGTAAAGATTATTATAAATATTGTTCCTGACAATTTAGTGGGGAAGTTTAGCAGTTGCCCACACTTTGGTTAAGACTAACTGACATAAATTCTATGCTCAGCTAAAAAAGGCAAGAAAATCTGCATGCAAGCTAAAAATGCGGGCAAAAATAATAAAATATAATGTCATGTGTTCGGAAACTTCATGTTTTATTCATGAAGTTTTGTACACCCTTCATGCAGCGATTACTTTTTTCCCCTCATTTGCATCAGCAAAACATTTCCACAGCTGGTTAATAGCTGCTGCTAATTACCTTTGATATTTTTTCACCCTAGATTACAACTTCCCACATGCTGCTCTGTGTCTGACAATGACACATTTTACCTGCGCAGCACCACACTGCAAACAGACAGCTAGTTACAAATGGTGTAGTGGAGTGTTCAGCAGCTATCATGACTGATAATCATGTCAGTCACAAAACTCACTTTCATATTTTATAAGAATGATTTCCAAATGAAACACTTTCTGCTTAACACAGTGTCTTTTTAAATTCATAGCAATAAAATCAAATTAAGGTCAAACAAAATGAGCATGGTAACGATAATAACCTGGGAATTTTGAATTAATCAAATGCTGCCAAAGGATGAGACAAAAGATGAGCAGCAATAATATGAAGCGCCACTAGATGGGGGTACTGTCCAATAATAAAGAAACACATTGAGCCAATGTCCCAAAGAGAGAAAGAAAGAGCGAGACTGGGAGAGAGAAAGCCATTGCTCATGGCAGTGTAGACAGGTGATGTAAATTTTACATTGGGTTTTACACTGCAATGTTTTGTGTGAATGCTGATCTGAGCTCTGCCTTGACATCAGTATGTTCACAATAAGATGGTCTAGCAATAAACACATGGATCTAATGCAATACATACCGAGTACAAAGGAACTGGGGAATACAAGAGAGAGTTAAAGCATACACACTCACAAAAAAGCACAGACACCACATACGCACAAAATCAAATTCACACACACACACACACACACACCCGCGCGCACGCAAAGTGACTGACAGCTGCGTCCATAATCACCCAGGCAGTAGAACACAGGGACCACTCTGCCATCTGTTCCCAGCATTGCTCTCCCATTCTTCTCCCCCTCTTCTCCCACCTCAGCAGGAGGCAGAAGACAAACTGAGGGGCTGACTTTGATAACTACGATGTCAGTGTAGAAAACAATGTGATATTAATTGGTGTGGATTTTTGGAGCTGCTGTTTGTGTTTGTTTTATTTTTCTTTCAGTTTGGATAGCCATTGTTTATTATTCTGGGGGACTTTGACTAAAACCAGTAATTGCTAGCTTTTGTAATAGATACAACAGATACACTTCACTTATTCCATCAGGCAGAATACCCAACACAGGACTAAAATCATTGCCCCCAGATACTCACTTGGTCTCTGTGTATACCAAATTCCAAATGATCTGCAGTTTGTCATGGCTTGTGGTGGTGGTCTACCTCCCTGTGAAGACAGCATTTTGGTTTAACAGTCTGCATCTCCCTTATAATTTGCAACTTGACTCTGAGGGTTAGTAGGAAGGTGATTCCTGATGGACCAACAACTGTGTCTAGGTTTTGAGTGTCTGGTGATTTACAAGTCTACAGCCACAGTAGCCGCTCTGTGACATTTTGGCACAGTGTTGCTTTGATGTAAATGCTAATGTCAGCATGCTAATAAGCTCATAATGAAAATGCTAATATGCTAATGTTTGGAAGGTATACTGCTAACAGTGCTGCTGATGGGAATGTCATTAGTTTTTCAGGTATTTGGTCATAAACCTAAGTATTTTGGATGGATGAAATGTAAATGAAATGATAAAGTAATTAAACTATAAACAACATCGTCTGGGCACCCAGGAAATCTGAACCATATGTGATAACTCATGCAACAATTGTTGACATATTTCACTCCAAACCACAAAGCAGGAGAAGTCCTGGCAGGCTTCATCACCTGGCTCCCATGAACATTGTACAAATGTTCATGGCAATCCGTCCAGTCTGGATCGAAGTGGTCAGCTGACCAACCAGCACTGAGTCATTTAGTGTTACCAAGACCTTTAAAAAGGTAGGTAAACAGAGCAGAGTCTGATTTCCTTACTTTAGGACAAAGTGCAGTTTACTACACCCAGTCACAACATTTTCAACATTTATAGAATACCTTAAAAAAAAGAAAGAAAAAAAATGCACTTTATAACAATGATACAACTGTGTTGGTGCACTGGAAAGTTTTGTGTTTTCTCTAGAAACAGATACACTCATAATGACATCTTGTTTCTCGAGCTCCAGAGGCCAGATGTGTCTTCCTAGGCTCCCACACAGAATTTAACAAACCAACACAATAAGACATTGTGAGATAAGATGACCTTGCTGGTCAGGGGGATTTGTATGCCCTGAAATAAATTGTAGACACAAATCTGGCTCCAATAGAGCACTCTGTTTTTTTTCTACCCTTAAGACAAACATCCACACATATTATGGCTATCTCTGACAGGCAGAAGAATCCTCTTCCGCTCCCAGTTAGCTATAATATGCTTACACTTATTAATGGATAAGCATCACTCCTTTCCTTCCTATCCAACTCCCTGCTTCATTGTAATTTTTTCCCCAATGTCTACATGTCCTCCCCTTTTTCCTTTTCTCTTCCACCTCTCATAGCTCAGGTAGACTTACCCAAGCTACATTGAAAATAAATATCATCCTCAACTGCCCAAACGCCGTGGCATAAACGGATTAATGAGGGAATTAAAATGAATGATGAAATCTTTTTCCTGAGGGGTGACAGTGTTTTTCAGTGGTTGGTACAATGTCTGTGGCGTAAACATGAGATATTTCTCTCCCTTCTTCCATCTCCCTCCATCCCTCTGTTTTTCTGGCAAACTGTCACCATCACTCATCACTGGCTTACATTCCCAGCATTCCCCTGTGGCACCTGGCTCATGAGAGAGCAGAACTGTTGAATACACACTCGTGGAAAGTGCACACTGCACACACACTCATCCCTCCATAATACCCTTCTTCTTCCTGACAGGTTTTTTTTTCAAAGACACGTAAATGAATATGGAAAGCTGACTTAAATTAGCACAAATGTGACCATGTGTATGTCTGTGTGTATATACAGTGCTGTACTTTATGTGTGTTCCTGTGCACTAGGCTCACTGAGAGTAGCGCAGGCCAAGTCAATCATGCTGGAGCTCTCCCTATCGTCCCATTGAGACTTGTGGCTGATCAGGGGAGATAATTAAGTCTGAAGGGCTCTAATGATATTCGCCTAATAGCTACAACAGCACACCAAGATGCAGCAACGGGCACGTGTGTGTGTAAATATGTGCATTATGTGTGGGAGGCGTCATGTATAAAGGTGAGTGGGATGTGTCTGAGAGGTGGGGTGCAAGTGATTAAAATCATGTTTTGTTAATACATGTGTTTATGAGCGTGTACATGGTGATAATATGAAAGCTGATGGGATAATGCATATTTTAAGTATCAGCTTACAACACATAGACACAATCATTGTACTTCTACACTTAGAGTATTACAATTTCTAGCCCCTGACTCTAACCATAACCATCACAGCTAAACATCTAGACCCAAGCCTAATCAAAACCTAACCATAAGCCTATAACAGCTGTTTGAGGTTGTGTCAGAAAATCCCACACAGTTTTACTCTGCTTTCCTTAATTGTTGCTGATAATACAGTGGTGCGGTGAGCTTGCTCATGCCTGCTGCACAATCCGACCTCAAACACACACACACAATCTCTGTATGAGTGAGGGACATAGGGAAAAGAGGCGGGGGAGACATTATGCACTCGTATACAGAAATTGCTTTAAGTGAACATGTGTAATTGTTGAACACAAGCTGTTTAGGAAATGCTGCTACAAACTGCACTGCAGTCCCTTGAGTGCATATATACAGGGGGTGGATGTAACAACTGGGACGCTACAGCTACACTACAACATCATATATTTGAGAATGTGTGTGTTTGTTGGTTTGCTTGTTTTATTGAAGATCTGTGTTTTCACAGAGTTAATAACTTCTATTAAAGCTACTCTACTGAATTTCCTTTCAGTTCCTTTAGTGAGACAAAACAGGCTCACACCAGAAACCACTGCTTAGTGCTCTTTGTCCCTCCTGTCCTGTCTCCTACTGACGATGACTGGTTGCCACAAACTGTACAACTGTTAGCTAATGCTACATGTGACTGTGATGCTTCCCAGCCTGCTCGCTGTCATTGGCTGTTGCAGGTGTCTGGTCAGGATTCAATCGCTGTTACCTTCCGCACTACAGGATTCCAAATTGCAAATATTAAACATGGTTGATACTTATGATTCAAGATCACGGGCCCTCTGATCCTTTCGGAGGCATAACAATTAGGTCCGTCTACACCTCACACTATAGGATCATCTGGCCCAGGAATTGCCTACATGTGACTTTGATGCTTCCCAGCCTGCTCGCTGTCATTGGCTGTTGCAGGTGTCTGGTCAGGATTCAATCGCTGTTACCTTCCGCACTACAGGATTCCAAATTGCAAATATTAAACATGGTTGATACTTATGATTCAAGATCACGGGCCCTCTGATCCTTTCGGAGGCATAACAATTAGGTCCGTCTACACCTCACACTATAGGATCATCTGGCCCAGGAATTGCTTCCGAGCAGCCGCACGTCGGGGAACACCCCACGATTGCTGGAAAGGGCAAATCAGGCCCAAGATCAGGCTAATTATCCTGTAGTGTGGGGCTGGCTTAAGATGAACCCTGTCCTCTTTAAAAAAGAAAGAAAGAAAGAAGGAGATGGCAGCACATTTGAAGAAATAAACGGAAGCCAATATAACAGATACTGTACGTCAAATCTACATTTGTTCCGTTTCACTCTTTATTGTTGATGTCTACTCTGGTTGCACCAAAGAGCGGCGCCATGATGTACTCTGCAAGAGCGAGAGTCACGTTGTTCAATGGAAACACAAATGTGTACTGGGACCAGTCAGCCCAGGCCAGGTGACCTGAATGAGACGGTTCCCAAACAGCATTAGTTGCCGAGAGCTCCTACATGGATGGCTGCTGAAAATGATAACTTGTGGTTGAGAAAACACTTTTAAACTTTCACCAGGCGACAGGCAGAGCTAAATTACAGACTCTAGTTTGAAATCACAGGGTAGAGAAGGTGGAATAACAACAGAAGCATTGTAGGCAGCAGAATGTCATGGAGGGGGGGGTAGTACAGCTGAGAGACACCATGCCTGTCCCATTTTCACTTGATTTATTATTTATGTGCAAAATTTTAGTTGGTGCACCTTTAAAGTCAGTGCAGCACAACACAAAACACAGAACACCTAATTAACATTCACCATGTTAATTATGGGCCTTAAGTGTATACATACCCAAAACATAATCAAAAGAAAAAGAAAGAAAAGTCAACTCAAAAACAGAAAACTCAAAAAGAAAAAACCCAACCCCACCCATAGAGCCACTCCAAACCCCTTTAAGTCTAAAGTCCCTTTAAGATTTATGTGATGGGTGATGAGAGTTATCATTAATACTGTTATAGATTTCTTCCAGAAAAGCAATAAAGGAGGCAATAATAAACATTCCTAAAATAATCAAATTCATCCCGCAGGGAAAATTAGATTTTTCTAAGATGGAGGCTAACCAACAAATCATCAGCCCAAGTTGTGTTGAGATGCTTCAAAACTTCCAGTGTTGGAGTCAGGGTTACAGCACTACAAGCTTTCAATAAAAGGCCTTTAAAGGCACACACAATGTTGTCAACATGCCAACAATGATCAGCATGGCATCAGGTTGCACTATAATATCAACAATGGAAAAAGTGAAGCTGGTTTTGTGCCACAAAACCTCCTTTTTTCAGACAGAGAATACAGTGAACAATAAGCAGCTACATTGGTGTGTTTGTGGTGTCTATATGGCTACAGTTACACACACATAGTAATAGAACTGCACTGACTGATCTCAGAATGTTTTGCGTGTA